TTCCACTCATATCCACACACTTGCACTCTTGATCATGTTTGTATGTTGTTTTCCTCCATGGATCCATGCTTTGACTTTACAATATAAACATTCTAAGTATGCCTTTCAAGTTCTCCTACCCAAAACTCCACATAAGCCATAGTTGTAGGGCCTTGAGGCAAAGAAAGATCTTGGTGAGGTCATATACACAAATAGCACTGAGTGATTTGAGAGAACAATATCAGGGGTAACATGAGCTATGATTGTTTTGGAAAAAAAAATATTGTCAAAAACTCCAATCTTACTTGAGAAGAAGTGATCTATGTCTTCAAGTCAGAATTGTTCTATTTCTCAACCGCCCAAGGTGATGTTCTAGCCACTTCAAACCCACAGGTATGAGTATGTGACTTGAAATAACTTTTGTGCATGCATCATATCCTAAGAAATTTGTGTATCAAATCCACCTGAATCTTTGCTTGGTACTCTTTCTTGTTCGAATCCTTTACTCTGGGTGAGCAAAGGTTCGGTGTGGGGGAGCTTGTTGATAGTCCTTAACACCTCATTTTAGACCATCAACCATGCCTAATTTGGTCATATAAATGACATAAACCATAGTCATAGGGCTTATTTCTAACTATTTCCACAAGTGTGTAATGACTATGTCAGTGTAGGAGCATGGAGGCTACATACATGCAAAAACACTTCATCAAATGCTCATTTTGACATTACCATGTCAAAAAGCTCGTCAAGATACACAAAATTGAGTTTTGGTTCACCCAATTTAGAGTCCGGATGACAAAGTTATGCCTTTCGAAAGATCGTAAGATGGGCCGGGCTGGATTTAGGCACAGATGGACACCGAGCGACCCCATTTGACACCGACCGACCTAGACTTGTGTCCAATGGCCACCAAACTAGGTTTAGGGCCTCTACACTCACCCAGGAGCCCATGGGATGCCTTGTTCTTCACATTGGATCACATGGGGCTCGAGTAAACCCTGAACAAGGTGGCCCAATTCAACACAATCCAAGACAAGTCCACAAACCGAAGAAGGAAAGCTCCAAACATGTACAAACTTCATACCAAAGCACATAGGAGGCAAGTGGATGTGGCAAGGGGCTAGGGGCCCACATGCCACGTCGGTCGGCCCCACCTTGGCGCCGCCCAACGGGTCAAGTGGCCCTGCCATGTCACTGATCCATGGGAGAGGTCCTCTAAGCCTTCTCCAGCATTGATCTTTAAGTCGGTTTGCACCAAGGGTCGCGATGGAGTGGTCTTGGATCCATGGGTCCACTATCATGGACTTGGAGCCCTCCAACCCACCTGGGAGCCAACCAAGGCCCTATGATCAAGATGCAGTGATATCCAACATCGGTCGGCGCCCCTACCATGCCCCCCGGCGCCCAAGTTTGCTCCACCGACCTTCTACGCTGCCTAAAAGTACCCCCACTGCCTCTAGACACTATAAAAAGGGGCAGTGGTGCTCGGTGGACAAATGCACCATCTCATTCCATCACTCCAAGTGAGAGTAGTAGCTAGGCAAAGCTCTGTAGCTCTACTACTTAGAAGTAGAAGATAGGGAGAGAGTGAGGAGAAGCTTGGGGAGGAGCCAGGGCTGTCAGCATCCTCTCCACTTGTGCTTCGGCGGATGAAGCTCTTCTTCAAGTGAAGTCGGGCATCTTCTGTGGTAACTCTACTCTTTTGCATTACTTAAGTATTATTTATATCATTGTGTTTACTGGTTTCACCGCTTGGTTAATGTGCTCTGATCTTGTTCCACCATACGTAGGATTAGAGTAGTAAGTTTATAGATTAAGCGTGGTGCTTAGGCTATAGCTTCCCTGTGTTTATGGCTAGGCCTTCGGATAGATTGTGGTTGGTGGCAGATGGTGACAGCCCTATCCATCCTCTGTATTCCACCACAATAGGTCTAGTTATTAAATCACAGGGCTCATGGCAGACCTTGTCTAGTTATCCCTCCTGGTTGCTAGGTGGGCTGTGCCTCGAAGTAAACAACCGTGATAGTCTTCTTTAGTCTTGCCTTAGTTTATAGAAACCGCATATATCCTCTCTACCTATTACTTTTACCCTTGGACACTCTTAGTTCTTAACTAGTCCACTTCATGTTCCCCGTGGAAATTCGATATCTTGGAATACTCCCGGGTGAAAGCTACATTGACATCTGTGCGCTTGCGGATTTATCTATTTGCCATATCTAGTGTCAACATGTGGTAGTGGCGGCACCCCCACACATTTGTTATCTTTTGAAAACCATGTTGAAAGACTTCTTAGACTCTAATGGTAGTATGTTATGAATTAAGTGTGTGAACAACTTGGCTTGTAAACTTAAGTACCTTGAACTTATAATATGTCCCAGCTGTGGTTGTGATGTATTCTCTCTCTTTGGCTGATCTTGGATGAAGGTTGGCATTTGATTAGTACATCTTATGGGAGGTGTACCGGGATGGCCGATTAAGTGAGACATCCAATTTAATAGTTAATGGAAGACTATCATCTTGGGTACTCATTTAAAAGGGTGTTGATCCTGACTGCCACCCTCTGGCCTATTAGCGGATGGCTTGGTAGGCCCCAGAAGCCTGGCTCCGAGAAAAGAGTCAAGAGCTAAGTCCCAATTCGGATCACCCACGTTTGGGGGCTCAAGTATCAGGACATACCCCATAGAGAATCCATTGATGATACTGTTGCAAGGCTTGCTGTAGGCCTGTCCAACCAAATCACCTCATGGCAAGGGTATGATATCAATGGATACAGGTTCCACACAAAAGAAAATAACAAGAAGAGCGTGGCATAGAACAATGGTGTTCGATATGAGGGCATCGATGAGTCGACGAGGCAGAGCAGGATATACTATGGGCAGGTGAAGAGATATGACCTACAAATACCCATCTTCCAGTGCTAGTGGGTCAAGCCCAAGGGGATTATGGTGGACAAGTATGGGCTAACCACCATAGACCTCAGCAGTGTCGGCTACAAAGATGATTAGTTGGTACTAGCAAGCCACGTTGCGCAAGTATCCTACTATGGCATGCTCAGGAACGACAAGAGGCACGTGGTTGTCTCCGGAAAGCATAGGGTCATGGGAGCTGATTGTGGGGGTCTGTCACGTTAATTTATCTAAATCAGGTGTCATCCACTTGACCAACCCGTTTTGAGCCAAACCAACCATGATATCCCTAGGAGAGTGCCTTCCACACCTCCACTATCAATACACAAGATCATAATTAGTGTTACAGTCCATGAACAAATCATCAAGACTTCACATAACTCGATCATCATAGAACCATAAATAATTAACAAGTTGCATCCTATGAATACAAGAATTAGACTAAAATGGCATCAAGATTATTCATTATTTAACCCAACATTCTATTTCACTCTCATCCTCTTAACCACTGACACCAGAGTAACGACAGCGTTTGGGGATGCCCATCCCCTAGCCTGCTAAACTTCAACTTCACTTGAGCTTGGCTCAAGCAGTCATCAAGTCTGAAGTACCACCAAAACAACTTATCAGCGGCACTGTGAGTACATTTCATACTAAGAGGATTTATTCCAACATACATATTTGGTGGATGCAAAGAAATTAACAGGCATTGGTAAGTTCGCATAAAAGCATGATGTTTGTTAATGCTCATGATTCTAACTTAGCAATTGTATTACAAGTATCAATTGAGAGCAACGATTAAGTGATCAACTTTATAATTCATCTCATAAACAAGTTCATTCAATCTCACTTCACCGAGTCTAGAAGAAAGAACAACCAAACAATTTCGTCCGAAGACTTTAGACTTTCGAAAAGATCCCTTTAGAGGTGTACAACTGTACCCGCAAGGACACCAAGGACGAACCTCCATACCCGTGCCCGGATAAGGGTTGTCTTGAGCTTCCGACATTTCGTCAATGTGGCTTTCGAATCCACGAATGGGCCAGAGGCGAATCGAGGTACTGGATTTCCACGCTACGCCGCGTCACAACCCAAGCCGAATCCACGCGATAAGTAAGTCACCACTAAGTACTCAGCTTACCACTTCCATAGCGACATGTGGTTGCACCGGTGGTTACTCAAACTTACTATCCTATAAACGGTCCTTAGTTGCTCTACGAGCTACATCACTTAAGATCTGACACTGTTTGTACAGGATATAGACACTATTGTATATGCCAATATCTATTCATATCTTATATAGGATATAGACACTATTTGTATGCGATTTGGAATTAAATTAAAAATAACTATATTTATGTTTAGTTGTTTACGCCCATAGCTGGGAACGCTTAACCCGTTGGGAGCATAGATGCTATCACTGAAGATCCTGTTGTGAACACCATGTTGTTTGTTATTGATTGTTTGAAGGCAAAATTTGCCACATGACATTGAAAATATCCTCCTTTTGTTAGCTGACACTAAAAATAGTTAGATTTACTGAAAGACACTTTGTTTCTTATCAAATTTACTGATAGACACTGCGTCTAATAAAATATTTATTTATGGTCTTAGAGGAGAGAGAAGAACAGTAAAATATTATTTTTGCCTCCTTCCCCCTCTTTTTTTTTTTTCGAGGAGGCTGTGCCGATGGGCCTGCGCCACCTCAGACATCTATCGTTGGCCTATCCAAAAGACGAGGTGTCCATGGTGGCACAGCCTTCCCAGCCATGGTCCATAGGCGCAGTCTCCTTGAAAAAGAAGAAAGGGAGAGAGAAAAAAAAGAGACATCGGTAAAAATAACATTTCACCGCTCTTCTTTCCTCCATAATTAAAAATAAAATATTTTATTAGACATGATGTCCACCGACAAATTTGATAAGAAATAAAGTGTCATTAAGCAAATCTAACTATTTTCAAATGGAGGACATTTTTAGTGCCCCGTGGCAATTTTGGTCTTGTTTGAAAGAACGGAAGAAAAAGAATGAACACGAGAGTAATTAAACCCCGTCGGACCCAAACCTCTGAAGTCTGAAAGCCCCCAAAACCTTCGCCGCTCCTTCCAGTAACACAGACATGGTCCTCGGCCTCTACACCTTCGCCGACATCGCTGCCGACGGAGCACCCCGCCTCGAGGCGGCCGATGGCGAGGAGCTCGTCCGTGTAGATCGCGCTGCCGAGCTTGCACTCGGCCCCCGCGCGCTGAAGGCCCCCGGAACCCTTTTCCTCACCACCAGGAGGGTGATCTGGGTCAGCGATGGCGGCGAGGGCTACGCTGTAGACTTCGTTGCCGTCTCGCTCCACGCCGTGTCGCGTGATCCCGAGGCGTATCCATACCCCTGCATCTACACACAGGTCAGTTCGCGACCTCCTGGTTGGCTTCTGATTCGGCGGATAGTTTGATGCCCGTTTCTGGTAATGAAGGTGAACTGCGTAGTGTTATCTAGATGGATACCAGCACAATTTCTCGAGAATGCAAGCTTTGGCTGGCTTCACGGCACATATAAGTACATAAATTTTATTTCGTATCTTAATGGAAAGGCAGAGCTCCCGCTACCCCTTTCAAAACAACACACAAAAAAAAACTGGTACATAGAGATGCAAACCATGGGCTGGGTCAAAAATTAACTGAATTGAGGGGTTTGGATTCAGGCAAATGTAGAGCGTACCTTCTATTTGATTGTAAGATTAAATGGAGATGATGCAGGTCCTGTTTGGTAAAGCTTCTCTTGGAAGCGCTTCCTAGATAAGCTGCACAAATGGAGTAGAAGTACAGTCAAAATAAGCAGGTCTGGATCCAGCTTCTGCTTTTTAGTACAAATGGGAGTGTTGGGAATAAATGCGGCATGAATCAATGGCAGAAAAGCGTTCTGTTTGGCTGTTAATTTCACCTTAATTTGTCATAAGCAACTTATAAGCTGTAGCAAACAGGCCCATATTATGCATCCATGCTATGATATGAGATTAAGTATTGATTGGCAGTTAATGGTAGCATCCAGATTGGAGTGATGCGAGTGAAGGTAAGTGTCCTAGATGTTTCTCGTTAGTTATAATGCTACTAGTTTATTTCACATCAGAGTTCGTTTATGCTGATTTTGGATGTTATTTGTTACAATTGTGATGATCATTTGGCAAGCACGTTTTACTTGTAGCTCTTTTGTTTCGTTTCTTGTATTTTAGTTTTGAACATTGTAGTGCTAGCTTTTGGCTTGCACTTTTTGCAGAGAAGGAAGTTTTAAGATGTTGTAATGTCTATCTTTTCTTCCTATGAAGCCAGGGCCGGTCCTGAGTTTTTCTGGACCTAGAACGAAGCTAAAATTTTGGGCCTTTTATATAAACATGATAATACTACTAGTACTACTCATTGCTATTATATATACACACATATATAAAATGCTATCAATAAGCACTTAACTGAATGCAAAAGCAATATTGATATGAAATTATTTGTATACATACTAAATTACCTTAAAAAAATTAGAGAAACAATTAGTCAAAAGTTAAACAATTATACAAAGAGAAAATTCACGAAGATTAAACAATTATACACTACTACTTTAGAGAGTCAAGTGCCTAGCAGATTGAATATTTGAATACCCAATTAAATCGCAATTTTTAGATACCAATTCTCAAATGATGTCCGTTCGGGTCTCTGAAGTCTGAATCGCTAATTAACCTTAGCGTTCGGCTGTACATGATTAGGGAACATGGAGTATGGAATTAGGGATCGTAGGAGATAAGAATAGGACAGAGATTTATTCGTACCTATGGGGATCAGTGGATCACGTTCAGTCGTTCACGTAATCAAGTGCGAGACTGCGGGTGCGGACTTCAGCACGTGCCTGCCTGGCGGCCTGGCTGGCCGCCGGCGATTCGCAGAGTCAATATCTATACTACTCGCAGAGGAAAGAGGATGAGAGAACAGAGGATCAGTCGAACAGTCGCCAACTCCGCTACTCGCAGGGCATTCCGCAGTTGAAGAGCCTCGCATCGTCGTGCGGAGTCGCTGCTGCGTCCCGTCGTCTGCGTATGTTTCTTACGGCTGACAGAATACTACTGTACGTACTAGTGACTGCATACCTGGGGAGGGCCCATCAGCTACCCTGGGCTTGGGACGGCTGTCCCTCTCACCCTGCCCCAGGGTTGGGCCTGTATGAAGCAGAAGTTATTGGTTTCTATAAATATATAGGGTTGGCTATTGTGTAAAATGTTCACTTGGTATATGGGGAGACTTATAGATTTAAGAAGACAATTCCAATTACACGTGAGGTATTTTTCTTTGGACTATGTGTACCAGTGTACTATCATCTTTTGATGTCTTTTCTCCTTTTGTAATGATTCTTTGTGCCTTTTTGGGACTACTCCACTCCAAAATCCCAGCAATGGGAGGTTTTGCTTGGAATGGTCTGCCCTCGCGGGCTTTTGTATGTATACTGTTTGGTTCTAACTTTGCATTTGTTAGTGTTTCCCAACCAAAACAATTTTGTTTAATTTCCAAAAAAAATTGTTTGCTAAGTTTTTTTTCTTGATTTTTTTAACGTTTATTTGCATGTGGCTGATACAAGATGAAGTTATTCAATTTGTGTGCTTATTCTTTCTGATGAAGTTATTCATTTTGTGTGCTTATTCTTTCTTATTAATGGTTTGTTTTTGAAGTGACCTAAGTGGGCATAGATCACAAAACTATTCTGTGTTTATTCTTTATTAATTATATTCATGTGGTTCTAAAGCGTCCATTATAGCCTTGGTATAGCAATGCTATAGTTTTTTTATAGGGTCTACTGCTACAATATTTTCAATTGTCCCGTTGTTGCTGCTAATGATGTTTTAGCTCTGCTAAACACTATTATTTGGCTTAGCCGCAAAATATTTTTAGCATTAGTAATCCTGAAATTTCTTACACTAGATTACTACAAAATATACCACTTTGTTATGTTCTTTACTTAGTAAATAATGTAATGAACCATTAAATTATTATTGAATTGTGATTATGTTCATTGATTTAATGAATGTTAAGTAATGAAACTGGAGACATGTTTTTCTAGAGCCTCGTACATGTGTTTGAGTTTTGTTTTCATGATATTCCCTTTGTTACATGTTTCCATGCCAATGTTTTCTGATCGGCTTATCGTTCCTAATCGGTCTGGTACCGATTAGGACGATCAAGATGATTAATCGACGATCAGTACGATTAATCGACCTCTGATCGGTCTAATCGTCCAGCATATAGCAGGACTATATAATTATATATCATATATGTATGGTATATATATAATATACCATATACTATATATTTATATAGTATACATCGAGCATATTTCTAGTTAGTTGGTTACTTACCTATGAGATCTGACTCCATATTCTTGTCCCAGCCTCCATATGTTTGCTGATTTTCTGCAGGAATAATAGATAACTTGAGTAAGTAGATGCAAAAGAATAGTGTGACAGACTGACAGCATTACAGCAGCACATACTCAATCCAGATCCAGAAAAGTAGGAATTAAGAAAACTAGCATAGTCCACAGCTTACTTAATATAGTACGAGTACTGAGTACATACTACAAACTAAATAATTAAACACTGCAAACAACATTCAAAGTTTTTAAGATAACACTAGCTGCCATTCAATCAGCATTCAGCAGCCATCTAAATCTAAATAAGGAAATCATCATCCAAATTGAAGCCTCCTCCTCCATCTCCACCCGAGTCTCCATCCACCTCCATTCCTACTTCAGCATTTAATGATACGCTGAAGTAGCCCATCTGCCTATTTAGTGCTGATCGGCAAAGAGAAACCCTAATGGGCCTGGCCCAAATAAATATAGCCCAGTAAACTGAAGTAGCCCATCTGCCTATTTAGTGCTGATCGGCAAAGAGACCTAATCGGATGATTAATCGCGAGTAATCGACGATTAATCGGACGATCAGGTTTCTGATCGCTCTGATCGAATCGGAGGGCCTAATCAAGTGCTAAGTACCGATAAGGACGATTAATCGCGATTAATCGGACGATCAGAAAACATTGTTCCATGCATAAATTAAATTTTTGTAAGTTTTCTATGAAACTGCTAAATAAAATAACTTCCGCTATATATATCCAACTATAGTTTTTTATTACTCCTGGAGGTGACCGCTACTAAATGTCTTAGTATGCTACTTAAAAACCATGATTATATTGGATTTGTTCCATAGGGAACTAGGAACCAAGTGTACATACTTCATTTTTTTGGGTTTTTTGTTTTTTTTTTGTTTTTTTTTACCAAGACTGCAAGACAATTGTTGCCACAACTAGGGTTAAACACTGCTAGTTCATATTACTGTTTTATATATGATTGAGCTTTATTATTTGTTCTATTTTTTTTGCATTTATTTGAGCGCACTAATAGATATGTTGTATGGAGTTTTAAATATTGTGGAAGGGTTCATTCAAACTAAAAGAAAATTCAATGTACTTGTGATGGGGTGGGTAAAATTTCTCGTCCTCAGGCTTAAATGCATCCCCACAATGAGTTCTTTCTTATCAAAGTCTATGGATTACATTTGAGGATGCAGATTAGGTATTGTAGCATTGAGACTTGGCTGTCCACAATTATGCTTGATCTTTTTTTCCCTATGGCTCCAAATTTGTATTGGCTGCAATTGTGACAACTATTCTTCATGCTGAGCCCTGTTACATGTGCAAAAAACAATATTTTGTTGCCCTCTTATTGAAAGTTCAAGTGGTAAAGTTATGCCCTATCGTTTTATAATTGTGTTTTTTCTCGTTTACAATGTTCCCTTCTAAGTTTCCTACTGAGTCCCTTTTTTCTAAATGAATATGCACTCAGTCTTTTCACTACTTCTGTTGTTTTGACAACAATGAATGCACTATTGTGGTTTCAAGCTATCCTTTTCTGTAAGAGGTGCAATCTTTTTTTTTTTGCGAGTAAGTAAGAGGTGCAATCTAGCAGGGTGCAGTGGCATACTTTACCTGAAAGCTACACAACGCACCTTTACCCAGCATTAATAGTTATTTCCCTTTTCCTTGAAAGAATATAATGCACTGCATATCATCGAGTCACAGTGCTGAAGTATTGGGTGGGGAGGAGGTGGTGGCTGAATGTCCATGGAGGTGATGGCGAAGAGAGCAGGAGGGGAAGAAGCTGAAAACAGAAGAGAGCTCGGCTCTTGACTATGCTTCATAAACCATAATACATCTCCTATCTTTATATAAAGGGGGCTGACCTGACCCTTAAGTAAACTGTAGTTGGGATCTTATAAATGGGATATGATCTTTTTCTAACTTAGAAACAATAAAGGGCGTACCCAGTGCAGAGAGCTCCAGCGCTGTGCGGGGTCTGGGGAAGGGTGTTAGTGGCAAGCCTTACCCTCGCCTATGCAATGCGAGGAGACCGCGACTCGAACCCAGGACCTTCCGTTCACAGGCGGTAAGACTCTACCGCTTGCACCAGGCCCGCCCTTCAACTTAGAAACAATAAACTTTCTAAATAAATGATGACTTGAGTTGGACGAAAAGACGGTGGGGGAACTAGGTGCTGTGATGGAGGCAGTAGGCGGCTGCCCTTGGTCTCGTTCGCGTCCCTTTCTTGGTGGTAGCTCGGCTGGGCCTAATTGGCCACATCTTTTGTTTCTTCATTTACTTCTAAAATATGTCTTAAGTTTCAAACTGATTGAACTTGTCTGAGCCACTATACTATGACATCTTTAGGAAAGACTAATCTCCTTCTGTACGCAATGTCAGTAGTCTTTGTATAATGAAATGTATAATTGTAAATCTCCAACAGGCATTGCTGATATGCATATCCTGTGACCTGTGAACCAATTTTGGGCCTCCAGTATGATGTTCCTGTGCTAACTAATTTTGCATTATGTTCCTGTATTAACTGATCCCCCCCTTTCATTGGATTATGAAGATTGAGACGGAAGCTAGCTCTGGTGAGGAGTCTGATGTGTCAGATTCTGAAACAAATGGAGAACTCGAGCTCTCAAAAGTTACCGAAATGCGTATCATACCTTCAGATCCTGGTCAATGTATCCTTTTGGCAAATTGTCTTATCAAGATCCTTGTTTTTAAGAAATGGTTGGCTATGATGCTCCTATACCTGATCTAGAATTCCTGTAAATTTAATTATTTCATTACTTTGTAATTCATTTTTTGACATAATTCCATTTATTTTTGTGTTCTTATATGACTGTAGTGACTAGTGATTGTTATCAAATTTCTTAAAGGAATACTTCTTTAGCTTATCCACTTGTTGCAAATACTATGTTATACAGAATGTTGGCATTCTAGTTTGGGCTCTCACTGACCAATGGGCTGCATCGGCCCATGACAGTTGACTAGAAATGAGCATACTTGCATAATGTAGAGTAAACATGTACTGAGGAGCACTTGCAACTTGAGATGAGGCTGTAGACACCTTTGTCATTTTGCTGCTATCCAATTTCTTCCCCGTCAGACTTCCTGCAAACAACTGTGTTCACTAGGGCTGATATTCATTTCTTTTCCTTCTGTATGCACCAAGTTATGTCAACTAAAGGACTTGTACAATTTCTTGAATATCTGTGTTATTCCTGTTGTATCTTGGATCCTTGATGGACTTTTCAGTGGATGAACTCTTTGAAGCATTCTGCAATTGCGCTGAGCTCAACCCTGATCCTAGTGCTGGTAACCAATGCCTTAAGCTCATAATTTTTATATCCTTGAACAGTCTTCATGTATTCTTATAACTGGCACTTAGCAGAGAGTGATGAAGAACCTGGCTGGGTTCATGGTGATGAGGGTTATGAAGATATGACAGATGGTAAGCATTCTTAATTTCTTTTGTACTTCTTCATCTGTTACATGTTTTCTCACATATCTTTAGCATAATATTCCTTTATTTTTCTTGCATTCAGGAAGCGACACTGAGTTTTCAGATGTTAACCCAATTGGTCAAACTGGTGAGCAGGATATTACTCATGCTGTAATCAAGGTAGGCAGTCATTTTAACCATTGTTGTGTTTTGCATTGCTGCTTTGCATGACTAACTGAAATAGCCAATTGGATTCCTTGTTCTTTTATTCTTCTATTAAAACTAATGTTGCATGTGGCGAGTGCAAGAAGACTCTTAGCAAGTTTTGGTTCGAAGACGTAGTGGGATGGGACGGATTCGAAGGTCCCTGTTTTCTGTTGAGGGGATGAGACAGTCCATGTTTTCTGTTTGGTAGTAGGGATAAAGGGATATGGGATGGACGGCATATTTGACACTGTTAGCCACTGTTCAGTGGGACCCATGTGTTAATCTCTTTTTTTTATATAAAAATTCTTCCTCTCGACTTCCATAGCCCGAGCGGCATCGCGGCTATGCCCCATGCCCTGCCGCCGCGTCCCACGCCTGCATTGCTGCTGTGCTTTACGCTCTGCACGTGAGCTCGCCCCTGCAAACAACCACGTCACATGCCCCATGCGCGAGCTCGCGACCGCGCCCGCAAGCCCCACGTGAGGACGAGGACACCCCGTGAGTTCTGGTCGGCGTGAGCTCGGACCTGCGAGCTCGTCGGGAGCGCCTGCCTGCACCGTTCTGCTTGCCAGGGAGCTTGGTCGTCATGAGCTTGATTGCCACCACGAGGTCCAGCGACGCTGGCCACCGAGGGCGGAGCAGGGCAGTGCCGGCGATGAGGTCAACCCCCATGTTGAAGAGAAGAGGAGTGGCGGCTCTGGTGAGCTCGCTGCCCATGCGGAGGAAGAGGTTCTTGCGAATGGCACCTAACACCATGTACAGAGGATGCCCCTGTCCCCTCGATTTGGAGGGACATGCTGGCCCTGAATAAGGGGAGAATATTCCACTAGGATTATCCCAACCCCAATGTCTCTCAACCAAACACTTCAAAAAATGGGACCGCCCCATCCCATCCCTCTTAAACCTTGAAGCCAAACACATACTTAGGGCTTGTTTGGATGCATGTGTATCTATTTCAATCCACATGTGTTGGAGTGGAATGGAATGAAACTTAGTTTAATTCCACCCTAATCCACTTCAACACATGTGGATTGAGATAAATACATACGCATCCAAACAAGGCCTTAGGGCATGTTTGGATAAGAGCTAATTGTTAGCTAGCTAAAAATTAGCTTTACTGCATCCGGACAGGAGGGCTAATAGGTGAGCTAATTTTTTAGCCGAGCATCCTAGCTCATCCAAACAGACCCTTAATTTATCCTTTTTCGTTTATAAGAACAGATATTCTGTTTCTTCTTTGATCTGGCAGTGCAAACTATCTTTCTCTCTTTGGTTGTCTTTCTAATAAACTCCACTGCCTTTAATTTGTTTAATGTTTGTTTCATCTTCATATGTTCTGCTACCTAGCTAGCATAGCTCGATTGTTACGAGAGAACATTTTTGCAGCAATATAGTTTAGGAAGTTGCCAACATCTTTCACCCAATTGAGATCTATCACCGGCCTAAATATGGGCTGCCGAGCTGGGCCGAATGGGTCCCAGAAGCCCTGGTCCTCCACCCCGCCAGGGGCGTGCGCGACTATAGGGTGGGGTGGCTACCCGCCGACCCCTGCCCACCGGGGGAGCCCGAAAGAGAGAGACTAGGAGGAGATTTGGTAAAATTAAGAAAACAGTAGGAAAAATAGAAATAGAATTTATATAGGAAATAAGATTAAAAAGGAGAGTGCAAATCTATGAGGACGACTCGTCTTGTCTGCTTAGGGTCCAAGTTCGCTAGGGAGTATAAATAATAAATATAGGACTTTAGGAGCGATGTAACCGCTATCTCCTCTCTGCGCCTGGTTCTCCCTCTCCTGCCGCCGCGGCCTGCCTTAGCACGCCGTCGGCCCCAGCCCTATCCGCCTGCGGCAGCTCAGTATTTGTGAAGGCATATATCATCTATGAACGTGATCGAAATACTTCATCAGGAGTTCAGGACTGTAATATTTGAAGTTTAGAGATAGCCTCCCCTAGTAGCTTAAGCCATTAGAACCGGGTCCTTTGATCTTTCCAAGTTCATTGTTAACGGAATTGATATTTATATGTGCAGCTCCAGATCAATGACCAACGTTTTGAGGACGCAGAAATAGATGAGGAGAGCCACATAAACGGGAACTAAGGCACCTTGTAGTAATTGGTTCATTGTACATCGGTCATTGATGCAGCATACTTCTCTGTAAAGACTTCACTTTTGTCATGTCATTAGATCATGTGGACCAACTTGAAAACATGCACTAATGTCAACATATTTGATAAAAGGTCGTGCTGCTGGTCAAGAAAATAAATGTAGCGTGCTAGAGGCACGTTGATACTCGATAGAATGGGGGACAACGAGATACTCCTTTGTTTTATGTGTTGTGCTCTGTAACCGTACGTGCATGACCATCTATGGTTATAGGACCACAGACAATTTTAGAAGTGTTATTAGTAGGGGGTGCAAATTGATACCCATGCCGGGCCTTGTCCAGTTGATAAAGATCGCCTCAAGCTAAAAGTGTTATGGTAACAAAATATTTGTGCTCTGAACGAAAAATTTATTTGGGCGTTGTAAGGGTGAACTAGCTATAGTTGTCAGGAGAGTTACAGCCTGTTTGGTTTAGACAGTGGATCCATTCCGCATGGGCTGGTCAGGAATTACCTCGTCCGGTGTTTTTGTCTGGAACGACTTCGCCCGAGATTTGCTCCTTGTTAGTTCGTGGGAATGCTGCATGTGGAACAGGTTCGTGACGGACGAGCTGATGACGTGACGCAAACCAAATGTCCCAGCTAGGCTTGGATGATTTCGAACTGCCTCATGACGCAAACCAAACATGCTGTTAGTTAGTAGGGATGGGAAAGCCATAACCACTTATGATTTCTTAAAACTTTAGCTAGAATTGAGAAGGCCGGTCAAGACGATATCAGGTATTCGCGATGTTTTATTGTAAATAAATGGAACTGGTCAGAACACGAATTTTGTGCCAGATAATCTCCCCTCAATTGGCCACGTCACCCTGTATTTTGTACCGTTCGATCTTTATCGGACTATCTAAAAATGGACTGTTAACGACGAATTTTGCGCTAGATAATCTCCCCTCAATTGGCCATGTCACCCTGTATTTTGTACCGTTCGATCATTATCGAACTCTCAAAAAACGGACTGCTAAACGTTTACACAGCTATCGTTTCCGTTCGATCTTTATCGGACTCTCTAAAAACGGACTGCTAACGTTTACACAGCCTTCGGGAACGAAGGCTACATTCTCCTGTACCCGCGTCAGCTGTTCTAGCATGTGAGCCGTCTGATCGCGAATCAGCTCGGGCTCTCTCTCGAACCGAATCTTCTCAGGTTGTCAGGCTCATCGTGTTCGCTCCGGCTTGTGAAAAAATTTCGAAGGGAGCAGGCACCAGTGCTAGTGCTGTGTCATGAATAGGCGACTAAGTAGTGGCAACCGCACGGGCCATCGGCGCGGGTCATCGGCGGCATCAATTGGCCGGACGAGTTGCCGCATTGGTGTTGATATCTACCTAGCCTTTTGCCCTTTGCACGTGACCTCGGCCAGAGCATTTGTCGCCGACCGTCAGCGGTTCAAGAGATGGGCTCCAGTCCGCGGGTCGACGGCCATCGCCACACTAGACCCTCTTAATTATGCTATTCCCGTTCCATGAAAGGTTCTAATATAACTAGAACGATAAATAGGATATTTAAAAACTCTATAAAATACTAGAACAATTGATTATTATAATAAATGGCGTAATGAAATTTTGCTCTAACTTTACAAGGGTTATAAGCCATATATCCAATAACTCTTATTTACTATGATTACTAGTCATATAACAAGCTAGGTCACTACTCACTAAGCTAGTGTCCTCTTAAAGACTAACTACACTAAATGATAACTAGTTTGCAAGGAATATAAAGAAGTAAATAGGATGATCGTACCGCCGTATCGAGGAATGAACCAATCACGATACGAAGCCAACCATTCATCGAAAGAAATCCAATCACAAGAATGACATATGATTTTTCTCCCGAGGTTCATGCGCTTGCCGGCACGATGGTCCCTGTTGTGTCGACCAACACTTGGTGGTTCGGCGGCTAATAGGTGTTGCACAAACCTAGTCCAACAAATGGACACCTCAAAAACCTACCCACAAATGAGGTAACTCAATGACACAAGCAATCCACTAGAGTAACATTTCGATGCTCCGCCGAGGAAGGCACAAGACCCCTCACAATCACCGGGAGATGGCCACGAACAATCACCAACTCGTGTTGATGCTCCTCCGCTACTCCAAGCCACCTAGGTGGCGGCACCCACTAAGAGTAACAAGAACTCCACGGCCACATCGATCCCCAAGTGCCACTAGATGCAATCACTCAAGCAAATATGCTAGAAATCACTCATAATCTCTCTATGATGATGAATCAATGATAGAGATAAATGGGAGGTCTTTACTTAGGCTCACAAGGATGTTAAGAATGTCAAAGTGCCAAGAGAGTAAGCCTAGGACCGGCCAAGACCCTTAAATAGGGAGCCAACCACGAAAGAGCCGTTGGCCCCCCACTCCCTGTCTTTGCGGGCCAATTAGACACGCCGGTCAAGCATGACCGGGCGCATGCCCCCAACGTCCCGTCAGCCACCGCCGTCCACGTGTCGCCTCCTTTCAACCTCAGCCACAGATCAACAATGGTCGACAGCAGCGCGCCAACGGCTATCACTTGACCAAACGCACCCGAGCCTGAGCTGACGCTGCCGAGCAGCGTCCGCTGGCACGTGCGCCCGAGCCAGTGGAGCCAAGACCTGACGCAGCGCCTAGCGACTGGACGCACTGACACCCGGAGTCCAGTCAGGGGCAAAAACAACACCGAGAGGTTTTTCTTGCTCGGACTGAGTCCAGTCTCGGGTGACCGGACGCAGCCGCGTGTCCGATCGCGCCAGCCACTATGCGCCAACACCTACGCCCCTACGTCAGCATGCGTCATGGCCGATCGGACGCAGCCCTTGCGTGTCCGGTCGTGCCTCCACCGTTGAGTCTGGTCGTGGACTTGAGGGCTCCCCTCTCTGCGCCAACTGACCGGACGTGCCCGGGGTGAGTCCGGTCACCCCAACACTAGAGTCCAGTCACCTGCCTTCTCCTCCTTTTCTTTTTCTAAGTCCACAACCACTTCACCCTTCACCACAAAGTGTAGAACTAGTGTGCACGTGTGTTAATGTTTTTCCAAGCATTTTACAAGGGTTAATTGTTAGCACACTAGGTCCCTAATGCATATGCAAGAATCATATCATCTAGTGGCACTCGATAACCGCTTAGCCAAAGATTTTCTCTCTTTATAGTACGGCTATCGATCCTAAACACACTCACACCCTCTATGGTGTCTTGAGTGCCGAAACAAAAACCTATTTGATACATTTGCCTTGATGTCCTTGGTTTTTGTTTTTCTCTTTCTTCTTTTCCAAGTTAAGCACTTGATTACCATCATTTCATGTCCATCTACATCTCCATGGATTTCATCTTGCCCCATCACTTGGATTGGACTACCTTATCTAATTCACACACTTAGATCAAAGGTTAGTCCTAGGTTTCATCAATTATCCAAAATCAAACTAGGGTTTTCAATCTCCCCTTTTTGTTAATTGATGACAACCTTTTCACAAAGATATTCAATGAAATCTTTTAGGATTCATGTTGCTTGCCCAAGCATTTTACCATGTGTAAAGGATATGGACAAGTTTCATAAACCCAAATTGATAGCATTAGCTCCCCCTACATATGCGCTAAGAGTTTGGATTCGAAAGCTTGCACATATGCATGGATTAGAGTTGTGGAGAAGCAATGTCTACCAAATGATGACCTTTGAAGCGTGATACCAATCAGAGTTGTCTTCTGAACACCATCCTTAGCACCATGCTTTGCTAGATACCACTTGTAACACAAAGACAAACTAGATACCTTGTGAGATCAACATTAGAAGCAAGGTTCTAGTACCACTTGTGAAAACCAATTCAAGTGTCTAGCTATCCTATGCATGCTAGTTTTTTATTCCATCATTCAAACCTACAACTAGCATATACCACACACATGCTTGGATATAGAATTAAAGACTTGTGCCATGCACTCAAACATATGTAATGCACATTCAAAAGCGACATATAAGTTTATGAGATTGCTCCCCCTACTTGTGTGTATTGAATTTTAATTTATTTTGACGCAAAAACAATGGGGGAGTTCCCCACGGTGAATGTCAAATTTTAATTGATCCCCTCCTTTTTGCATATCTCTCCCTTTGCATATTATCTTTGGGTTTTCTCTCCTTGCTCCTCCTACTTGTGTGCGTCAAATTTTAATTGATCGACTTCTTTTAGCATATCTCTCCCTTTGCATATTATCTTTGGTTTTTCTCTCCCCATCTTTGTGAATTACTTCTCCCCCTTTGTCATCGATGACCACAAAAGGTGAGCTCAAACTTTAGATAGGTTGTGTGAAACCATGTTAAGTGAGGATCATTTTCCTAAATTTGGTTCAATCTAGATCACGTGCAAAAGATATTGAACTCGGTTTGATCCAAGGACAAGCTTCTTCACACCTCAAAGTAAGGGTTATCTTGTACTATGTTGAGTTAAACACTTATAGCTCATTTTCTAGAATAAACACTAGGTTCACAAGCCCACAAATATGTCATATGCTACCACTAGATTAGTTCAAACATAGAAGCAATAGTGGTACCATACAAGCATCAAATTCATTTCATTTTCATGAATGAGCCTATAAAATATGAGAAATGACTAGATGCACTAAACAAGTCCTTAGCAAAGAATGAATGACATGTCAATCAATTTTACCTTGCTTTGCTCGAAGGAGAGGCATATCATATAATGGGGGTGTATCAACACATATTTAAGAAATCCAATATGTTCAATTCATTCCTTAGCTTACAAAACCTCTTCTCATCAAGTGGTTTGGTGAAGATATCGGCAAGTTGATCTTCGATACCCACATTCTCTATGCAAATGTCCCCTTTTTGTTGGTGATCTCTAATGAAATGATGGTGGACATCTATGTGCTTTGTTCTTGCATGTTGAACCGGGTTATTGGTGAGCTTCGTGGCACTCTCGTTGTCACATAGTAATGGCACTT